CTTGATTGTACACATGTACGTAATGGGGAGATATTCTAGAGACACTGGATTCTATATGCACTTAGAAGTCTAGAAGTTTGGTGGCTTATATACCAACGTCCTAAATACATGGCCCAGTGGGTCCTTCGTTGAAGTCATTATATCGAAGGCGTTGGATATTTATTATGATTGGAGAAGAGAGTTTTCAAGTTCTAGAAAATTATGTAAAAGAGCCCCAAGTTCAGCATCGGGGTTGAGCCCAGAGGATTGAGAACGAAGCATTCCAAACTCTTCGAGACTGGGTTGTACTCAACAAGCGGGGGCGGACATTCCATTGACTTCAACGCCACAGATGATGTCTTCCCCCATGGATCGGGTGACGAATCCAGTGGTCAAAGCCAAGACAACGACTCCTAGCATGACACTTCCACCAGAAAACTCAACTTTATACCTAATGAATAAACATCTTGATAGCACGAGTGTCGCTCTTCATTGCACAAATCTTGGCAATACATGGCAATGACCAATGGATACATCGAGGATGTCAGAGTTGGAGTTTAAGTACCACCACGACATGATGACGGCGATCCATATGATGATAAATATGGAAACTCAATAGTATTTGTTTTTCAAGTCTTTACATTTCAAGCCGCTCTTTTATTTTTTAGTTTTGTAATTTTAATTTTAAGCAAATTGAAATTCTTCTTTATTCATGTAGTATTTCGTAATTTAATATTTAATCATCTTATTTTTAATTTTTCAATTGTTCCTTTTTTATTTTTTAAAAATTTATTTCTCTTTATTCTTTAAATTTTGTGTTAAATTTATGAGAATTTAAAAGGAGAGAGCGGTCATCGCCGGAATCACCTTCGCCGACTTCGTAGAATTTGAGCCAGTTCATCTGTATACTTATAATCCAATCCGAAATAAATACATACAGCCTTCATAGCTATCCCTCCCGACCGCATCTGAGAAGCGGGTCGAAACTCTGAACCCTAGTCGGAACCGAATTTGGGATGGCGGAAAGCGTCGTCGTCGATTATGGGTCCCGCAACAGCTCTTGTGGATACTGTAAATCGGGCGGTCCCACCAGTGCATCTCACGGTATTTTTGTTTTTTCCCTGCCATGGATTCTTACTTCTGTTGTTATCTTCCTCGCGCTATAATCGCGATCATTTGGTTAGCTTGATTGCTTTGGAGGCTCTCAAGGCGTTAAAGTTGTGGGATTTAGTGTGGGTTTGTTAAGATTATCGTGATCGTGGACTTTTATTGGACTGGGAAATGAAATCATTTTTTATACTGATTATTTCAAATGAAATTTTGTCTCTTGATGGTCTTCCTGCAATCTCATGCTTTTAAAATTTTCAGGATTAATGGCTATCAGACTGAGTGTTGATGACTATCAAGGTTGGTTACCACACACTGCAATTTGGCTTCTGCTGTGTGAACATGGTTAATTCGCTTAGTTTCATTGAGAAATGGTAGCGAACTATCCTTCTTTTCAAGTTTGATTTTGTTCTCATATTTGTCTTGGATGTACTATATTTTTTACAGCTCTTCTTGATAGGGGGTGGAGAAGGTCGGGATGTTATTTGTATAAGCCTGAGATGGAAAGAACATGCTGCCCATCTTATACCATACGCATCAAAGCTGATTATTTTGTTCCATCCAAAGAGCAATGCCGAGTAACGAAACGGATGGAAAGGTGTATTCTGTATTTCTGTCCCTCCACCGACTCAAGATCATGATCCTTTTCAAATCATTTGATGAAATTTATTTCTCCTACCGAGTATACTTAGTACTCCATACTAGGAAAACAGTTTGCTTTAGAAGAATCTTCAAGTGTTTTCCCTTGTTGGTCAAGTGATAAACTATCTTGTGTGTTTAGTGTTACTAGGATGTGTGACCCCTTGGCAAGTCCTCAGGCATTTATCCCCATCACCTTGTAGTGGAGGTAAGACGTGCATACATCTTGCCTCCGCAATCCGTACTTCTTCTTGGGATTATTTAGGGCATGTTGGTTTGGTTTGGGTAGCTCAATTTATGTTAGATCCTTTTTTTAATTCATAAAAAATACTACCACCATCCTAAAGAAGAGAGACACACTTGACAACGGTATATCGTATAAATATTTTAAAAAATAGTCTCTCTTTTTTTTTAAATACAGGTTTATTTTAAAAATCTGTATCTTAAAAATACAGGGGCAAGACTACGTGCATCGTGACCCCAAACAAAGTTGATAGTATACCAGATTGTTGTTGTTGAGGAACTTATATGATGCATATTTGCTCTTAGGTTTTTGGAAGGCATATTAAGTAAACAACCACAAGAGTTAATGGACTCTCCAACTACATCTGAAGCAAAGGAGTCTCTTCCAAATGTCGGTGATGAAAAAAACCATTCTGAGCAGTTTATGCATTATCTGTCAGAACAGATTGACTATTCTGTTCAAACATGTGTTCAACATGGTGAGGTTCCCTCCGGTGTCCAGTTACCAAAAGCATCCATTAAAAAAGTTTCACCAGCTACTAAAAGAAAATTATCGGCTCAAGGAGTTGAAGAAGAACTCTTATTTACCAGCAACATCTCTTTCCAGATTGTTTCTGTTTTAAGGAGAACCAAAAATGATTCTGAATCAGGAAGTCAATGTTCTGCCCAACTGACTGCAAATGATGTTGCAGAAAAACTATCTAACTGTTTAAATCAATTGAAACTATCATATGGTTTTGCAACTAAAGCTTGCAATGGTCACATTAATTTCTTTTCTTCCAGCAAATGTTTAAATCCGGTCAATGCTCCAGAAAGTGAGAAAGCCAAAAGGTGTACTAAAAGAAGGTATCTAGAGATCAAAAGACACAGACTTGAAATTCGTCTCAAGCGGTCTACTTTTGATCCTGAAGAATATTCATTGTACAGAAGATACCAACTCAGAGTGCATAATGACGAACCAGACAAGGTCACTGAGAGTTCTTACAGAAGATTCTTGGTTGATACACCCTTAGTTTTTGTTCCACCTACAGCTGACAGAAGAGTCCCTCTTTGTGGGTTTGGATCATTTCATCAGCAATATTTGATTGATGGGCAGCTTGTTGCTGTTGGTGTGATAGATATCCTTCCAAAGTGCCTGTCTAGTAAATATTTATTTTGGGATCCCGATTTCGCCTTCTTATCTCTGGGTAAGTACTCAGCCCAGCAAGAGATTAGGTGGGTTAGAGAGAATCAAGTGCATTGCCCGAGTCTCCAGTATTATTATCTTGGCTATTACATCCATTCCTGCCACAAAATGAGATATAAAGCTGCTTACAGACCGTCTGAGCTTCTCTGCCCTCTTCGCTATACGTAAGCTTTGTGTGTGTTTGTTTGGGTTGGGGGGGGGGGGTGGGGATCACCTGGCTGTATCTGGACATCCAAAAACAATGATTTTTTAGGTGGGGCGTAAAATACTTCATTCACATATATTTTGGTACTAAAATTTGCACTTTAGAAATAGGCTTTAACGGAACCTGAGTGGATGGGCCTGGGTGCATGGGTTGGCCCTTCATACACCTTTATACACACCTACTCACCCACACCCACCCACCCACACACACACACACAACGTTTTAAAAATGAGTCATGTTTTTTCAATGTGCAGCATTTAATTTCGATGGGGTACATCTGATAAAATCAAGAATCTTCAAAAATTTATTTCTTTTTTTAACTAAATTAATCACGTGTAACTAATTTCTGGCTGTTTTTGTAAGTTCTCAGCAAGTTAAATCAAATCTTGCTTCCTTTGGTCAAATGTGGCTCTCTTTTGAAACAAAATAAGTGTGAATCACAACACTTTATTTTTATTTTATTTTTTTTAATTTGGGTGGAGGGAGGGATGTGTGTGTGTGTCCATAGAATTTGAAAATATACAATAATCTATCCTCAATTATGATCATGCTCTTTCCTAGGTGGGTTCCATATGAGATTGCAAAACCACTGCTAGATAGAAAACCATATGCAGTTCTTTCTGATTATACCACCCAAGATGGAGGGCCATTGCCACCCAGTCTGCTTGAAAGTAATGCTGAGGAACAATGTGATGATCAAGTTCCAGAGGGATCAAATGATGTATTTGTCGAGGCAGATGAGGAAATGGCTGAATTTGAGTTTGAAGACAGCGATGATGACAGAGAGGACCTAAGCACAAGTGGTACGGTGTCGGGTGATATAGAAGATGGAGATGTTAGTGGCGTTTTGGTAGGGCTAAACGGGACTCTTTTGAGGTTCGAGGTAGATAATCATTGGTCTCTTAACTTAAATCACGCTTATTTATTCCAGATTAAGATTAAGATTTCTTGATCTGAATAATTAGATTAAGATTAAGATTTCTTAATCTGAATAATTATTTGTTTTTTTTTGTTTTGAATATGATTAAATCTCTCTTGCTTTTAAAGGTTTTACAACAAGCATTTGGTCCCAAATCAAGGCAGCGTATGACAACACATTTGCGAAAATACAGGAGACTTGTGGGAAGAGAGCTCTCTGAGAAGATGGTTTATTCACTGGACTGATGATATACGTCAATAGTCTCCCAAAATATGTTGTAGGCATTTTTACACTCACCCCATCTCTATTCATTAGGGTAGTGTTAAGGTCAGTGTCCTCAAGCCTCTGACCCTTGGCACTAGGCATCCCTTAAGTGGTAGCTTAGAGCCGAGTGTCTAATCTGGTAGACGGCTAATCGGAGCCTAGTACCTAAGTTGGAATTCTAAGAACTTTTCGATTTATGGGATTGGTTTGGTTTTGTCTCTTGTTGTCTCTAAAGTGAGAAGTGTTTCTGGGATGTCCAAAAAGAGAGAATGAAGTTTGTCGGGACGGAGAGATTACAAGTCTTCAGTTGTACAATTGTATGTTTGTTTCATTTGCTTTAGCAACAGAGGCTCCATTTGGTAATCAAAATTGGCTTTCAAATGCTTGGGAGTTTTAATCTTTGTCATTATAGAAAAAAAAAATTCTTACCAGACGATCTCCTTCTAGTTACTGAACAATAAATGTTTTTTTCTTTCTTATCTTTCGGGCGCGTTCAGTAGAGTTGAATGAAGTAATACTGAAGTGAATAAAATTTACAGAGTAATTTTGAACTGAATTGAACAATACTGAATCGAATGCTTACATATAAACGCATTTGAAGCATTTATTTAAGGAAATTACAGGGGACATTACTTCAGTTATAAGAACAAGAACATGGCATATGGTATGGAATGTACACATTTCAGTTATAAGAACAAGAATGTGACATATGGTATAGAATGTACAAATTGGGGATACAACATGTTTTTCAGAGGGCAATCCATTATCATCACACATAATCTGAGCCAATTCCTTCATGACTTGCCCCATAGCTGCTTTCGTTTGGACCAACTATCTTAAACCTGTTCAGTTTACAACTTTACAGCATTACGACAGTTACGTTCTATAATACTCCGTATCTATTTAGAGATTAGTCTCTTCAAATTATTCTTTTTGTTTATTACTTATTCTTATTGGAATTAGATCAGATATCAGAACTCATTCCAATCATGTTAGAACCGATCAGACCAAGAGAAGAGAACAAGCCCTTAGTCTAGGTTCTAGACTTTGAGTTACCATGTTCTTGAATCCATTTAAAACTAAGACGAAGAGAACAAAGTCTTAGGTAGAGTAGTGACAAAGAAATATTAATAGGACTCACCGTTCAAGGACTGATTTCCCTTCTTTGTACTTCTGGTCCTTCTCGTGAGCAATCTCCTAAAAAAATGAACGCATCAGTTTCTCACAACAATAGCACGTGGCACATATGGAACGGTTAGAATGAAGTTTACATATTTCCAGCCAACAATGGATCCACATTGGACGCAAAAAATGTCTGCAACGGTGTGCAATCCGGTCATCATCTTCCTCTCCTCATGGGGGCCACATGTGACATTCACTCTGTCAGTTCCAAGAACACATTGACTTGTCAATATGGCTCTGTTTAACAGCTTAAATGGCTCAAGGATCGTTTGGTACTGCTTATTTGAAAAGAAAGCATTGCTTTAGAACAGCCAAACAAGTCAACAAATAGCTATTTGTTGTGCTAATAGTTAATATATGCCATTCTGGCTACCAAACAGAACCTTATTCAGCTTTTTGTGCTGCTAATATATGAGACTCACACGTTACTGAAGAGATAAGCCTTCCCGTGCTTGCAATGGAAAGACTGAATGAAAAAAGAAGAGTAAAAAAGTCTGAGACAAGTTTGATAGTTGGATGTCACATTTATTATGGTCAATAATAATGCTCGTAATAGAATCTAGTCGCATTTTCTTGGTTAGAAATGACATCACTAGAGAAAACCTTTGAACAATTGTAACATTCATGCATCACCTGTTTTCACTTAAATGTCATTTCTAGGCACCAAAACACAACTAGATTCTATCTCCAAAGGATTTTAAAAGCACAGGACTGCAGAAGATTATTAATGATGATGTGCCAAGGAAAACTAGGATGACTTCAAACAATGCCAACAAACTTAGGAAAAGTATAGGCTATGTTCCAAAGGTCTATTGAACTACTCTATTCTTAGATCTCACGATATTCTTATCCAATGTCATATCCTCAGTAAGATTCTAAAGTCGTAAGTCTTGTTCAATCAACTCCTTCTAACTCTTCTTAGGTCTATTCTTACCCCTTCGGCCCTTCTCACACTCACTATCACACGCCCCTCGTATCTGCTCACTAGGATGAATTCATTTTTTATTTAACAATTCACTAACATCGTAGAAACCAAAGATGGCAGTTCTCGATTTATGGAATCTAAAAATAAGCCATAAGAATCAAACAGTACACATTCAATCAATCAATGTTGTAAATACTTCAAGGTGTCAAGTGCACATCAAAACGCAAGAGACACATCCACTTCTTAGACAGAGTCACACACAATCAAAATATTATGCAGAGAGGCTAATATATGATAACAAGAGGGATTTGCTCTGTGGTTGAGCAAAACTTCACTTGAACAAGAAACATTGATAAACCAAACCAAGATGAAGATCAAACTAGAAATTTTCAAGAACACTCTTGTCCTTAGAGAGAGAACGCAGAAGAGAGAAGTAAACGCAGTAACACCCGCGGGTAAAATCCAAGATGGTAGGGTTATAGATTCATGATTGATTTCAGAGTATATTCAATTACATCAAATATTAATCAGGCTCCACACACTTAACAAGGATGGCTTTCAATGAAATTCTGCTTAATTTATGAGTAAAAGACACGATTATCCTAAATACTAAAAAGGAAAAAAACGTTAGCAGGACAAAATCATTGAGGAGAAGCACAGAAGAAGGGGGGGCGATGTTACCTTGGAGACGATGTGGTGAGAAAGAGCGAGAGGGGTTGCACAGTGCTTGCATCGATACATCTCTCCTTCCAGTGCTGTAACAAACACCCTCCCCATTTTCTCGATCTCCAGAAGAAGATGAAGAAGAAGAAGATCGGAGTGTTATGATTTGATTCCGATCAATCGCGAGCAACTGAATGTGTGATCGGATTTGGGGGCCAGAGAGAGATAATTGGATTTGACGGTTGGAATTGGGAGACGTGAAGCTGAAAAAATGAATGAAGGAGAGACCACGAGAAGCATACACATCAAACTTTCAAAGATAAAATCCAATGAGTTCGGATTTAGATGTTCATGGAATTGGAATTTTGTAGTGAAATTGAAAGGAGAGCAATGCTAGGGCTTGGTGTACCCCTTTGTCCCTCACCCTTTTCTCCATCACTCATTTTTACTCTCTCTGTCCGGAAATATTCTTTCCATTTTCCTTTCTAGTCCGTCCGAAAATATTATTCTCATTTCCTTTTTTAGTATGCTTTTTAGGGCTAAATATCAATTATACCCTTCTATTTTATCACAAATCTACTTTTTAAATACTTTTTTAATAATAAAAAGATATTTAAAAGTCTATGGTAAGTGCATTTTTGAAAATTTTGCATTTTTTAAACTATTCCTTAATAAGCGTGCCAAGTCAACATGGGAAGAAAATTTTCGGACGGAGGAAGTAATTTTTTACCTCATTTTTATTTATTTAATTTTATTTTAGTTTCTTGCCTATTTTTGTGGTAATGGAGGGGGTGGGGGACAAATGGGGTAAGGTGTACCCCTAGCATTTTTCTTGAAAGTAATTTGGATGAAATTGAAATCTCTAATTCCAATTTATTTTTTACACTATCAATTCCAAATCTACATATTTTTGTATCATCATACAGCAGAATTGGAATTATTGTTTCCAAATCCAATTCTAAAGTTTGAATTCCGTGTACCAAACGGAGCCTCGTCAAAATTACAAATTTTGATCGTGCTTAGTGGTTCAAGTCGGTTTGGGACATTTTCTGTCATGTAAACACTATATGAAAAGATGTATTTCGAGACAAAAAAAAATAAAAGGGAAAATATACTTCCTTCTTTTTTCATCTGTCTACACAACAATATTTATAATTTGGTTGGAACCCACTGAAAGTAGAAATGAAGGTGTGCATGTGCATAACTTGTCGCTACTTGAAAATAAAATAGAGAGGTTGTTTCTAATATCGAGACTCCAGGGTCAAGCTACACATATAAAAAGATCGCATGAGATACATATAAAACAGATCACATGAGATACATATAAAAAAGAAAGTACAGATAAAACACAAAACAACCTAAAGCAAATACTAGTAACAAACTAGAATTAACGTAGAAAAAATAAAGCAATAAGAGGCTACCAAACATACAAGGCATGCAAATCAACAAGTACAAAAAATACCCCAAATCTACGGCGCATATCCAACTACTCTGATTCCAGATCTCTTGGCGCATATCCAAATACTCTTAATAAGTGAAAGTAGTCTTAAATCATGTCTTATCTCTTCTTTTTTTTATTCTTCCGGGGTCTACCTATTCTCCTACTTCCACTCATCAACGTAAGCTTCTCACATCTTCGCACTAGAGAGTCAACATTCTTTGCTTCACATGCCCAAAGCACTTGAACCTCGCTTCCCGCTGCTTATCTTCTACACGCATCGTTCCTATCTACCCAACTTTGGATAATTAACGTCACCCAGAATTCCATCTAACATTAACTACCTCCACATCCATCGTAACATCTGTATCTCCACAACATGTAGTCTGCGAACATGGGTTTTCTTAACCGCATAACATTCAGCCCCATAGAGCATAACCGATTTAACTTTAGACCGGTAGAACTTATCCTTCATTTTAGCCAAAATATTTTATTTGCAAAGAACTCTTGTAGCAAGCTCCACTTGGCTCAAGTTGCTCTAACACGATGTGCAAGATCCTCGTCCAACTCCCCATCTATCTGAAAGACTTAGCCAAAATTTCAAAACTTGTCAACCTTAGACACTGATGAGTGAGAATCAATTCTAACTTCCACCCCTGATTTTGTCTCTCGACCACTAAAACAATACTCTATGTACTCAACCTTGGTCTTACTCAGTCTGGGTCCTTTGCATTCCAAAGAGAGGCACCAAAGTTCTAAGTTGTCGTTTAGTCTCTCGCGAGTGTCAGTAATAAGCACAATATCCTCATAAAAAATATGCACCACGCCACCACGAGAACTCTCCCTGAACTCTCTGCATTAAGATGTCAATTACCAGAGCGAACATGAAAGTGCTAAGGGCATACCCCTTGTGTCATCCCACCTCTAAGTGGAAAAACTCAAAGTCACCCTTAATAGTCATCATCCTAGTTTTTGCTTCACGGGACACATTTATATTCTTGACGGCGTGAATGTATGTGATTGGAAACCCACTTGACTCAAGACACCTCCCTTTGTACCCTATCGTATGCCTACTCTAGGTATTTAAATTTAAATTGAATATCTATAGGCTTTTGAAATTCAAAAAAATATTACAGAATTCAGATTGAATACACCCCCTTAATTTCTTTTTCAGGTTGTGAATGAGACGCTTCAATTTGCAAATATAATTAGCGGAGTATTTAAGAGAGCCATAGCCGACGTTGAGATTAAAGGTACACATAACATTTTTGCATTTTACACAAAATTTATTTAAGAAATAAATATATTTGCATAGAAAAATTTTCTTTCATGGGAAAAAGATTGTTCGTAGAATTTAGAATTGAGAATACATTACTCGGGCAATAAGTTATAGTTGCTAAATCACATTAATAGATTGAATTCGGTCAAGTCTATTTTTTGTAGGCATTTTATTGAGTCATTTGTTGGTTGTTAAGAAGATGCATTATATTCCCTCCGTCCTAAAAAGGATGTCACAATTTTTATTTCGATTTCTCGATAACTTTTGTTTGTTTAATCATTTTAGTTGACCATTTGATAAAATAAAAAAATTCTTGTCGCATCTTGTTTTATAGAACTTTTGTTGTACTTTTGAACGGTGTAATTTTCACTTTTTATTTCTCTACAAATTAGTAAATAAAATAATTTTAAAAGAGACAATATTTTGTATGCCGTTGGAAATATTATAAACAATTTGAGACGAAGGAAGTATGCCATGTAAATGGCAAGCGACATGAATGTATTTCCCTTTTTTGCGGAGATATCTGCTTTTCTTCACCAATTTGTTACACATTTCAAGCCCTTCTTAATTTTGAATACTCCCTCTGTCCATCATAGATCTTTCCAATTACTATTTACAGGGTCAAACTTTGCTCACTTTGTTTTGCTCATTTTTACTAATAATTTCGTAAAATAATACTCCGTATAATCTTGTCACCTCTAGTTTCGTAGAACTTTTCATGTAGTTTATTACTATATGAATTTTATTTTAAAATTCTACTCCTATAATCAATTAAATTGAATTGAAAATAAAGTCGGTTAAGCCTCGTAATGCGTGATGGGAAGATCTTAGGTGGACGGAGAGAGTATTATATAGGAAGTATATACTTCATTTATTATAAAATTTAATGTGACATTGAATTGAGCCCTTATGTTGTAGGTCAACCTCAATGAATTTATTATTATTATTATTATTATTAATGTACTTCTTAAAATTGGAGATAATTTAAAAAGGGAAAATTAAAACTAAAATTATGAGACGAGTTTTTTTTAATTTAATGTGTCATTTGGCAACAAAGCTACAAAAGGAGTAGGACAGCAGCAGGTTGTGAGACATAGATTGAACCAAACTAAAATCATGAAAAGAATAATGAAAGGACTAAAAGGCCCCTCCCTCATGGGACACAACTTATCCACATGCTCATCCAGGTTAGCATATGACCATGTTTTGTCAAGCCATATATATATGTTCAACCAAGCTACACTTACACCAAAAATACACCCCAAAGTTACACTAAAGGTATATTCTTACATTTTGATAGTTCACACTGATACAAAATGATGGTGTATTTACAAAAATTTTCACTAACATTTTGAGTTTGTGTAAACTATCACTCTAGCATTAGACTAATATAAAAAGAAGGTGCAAAGCTACATTGTACAAATTGGAATACAAATATTGGGGTACAAATAGCCTAATCCATATATGCTTCATGTTTGGTACATGGCTGAGTTGTAAAATTGCTTGGCAGGGGATGATTGATGATGAATATATATATGTGTTGGCAGAGGTGGATATATACCACTATTATTTTTTTTGGCATAATAATAAAAGTTTTTTATTGAACACTTTTTTTTGGGTAATGCTGGCTGGCCTAATTTCTTGGTTCCTTTTCTTTCTCAAATCCAGCCTTTTTAGTACTAGAAAATCTAAAATGTGGGGTTTTGATTCTTTCCTGCATGCTGGCATCACCTGGACATATTCTTGTTTGTTTTTGGGTTTTGGTTTATCATATCTAAATAATCTAATGGATACATGAAATGTTGCGAAATCATATAGCTTAGATGACAAAGAAGAGGTTTACATAAAAAGAAAAGTATTCTATAAACTTCTTGTCACTCCATATTAGTTTAGTTCTTCTAAAATAAAAAATACATTTACAGTACTAATCATTTTGTACGGAGTAATAATTACTTGAAGTGTTTAAAAATAAGCTGTACATGTTGGCAAGGTAAATGGTTGGCTGAGTGATGCATCTTCTTGTACATCTATATACCTTTCTTCATATACATATAGACAATTGATGCACAAGCTCACATCACTTTCCACACACATGATTTTGTCACACTATATCTCTCTGAGAGATATTATCTCATCCTATTTACACATAAATGTACCACACAAAATACATTTTTGGTACCAATTTAGCCTTTTGATCTCCCTTTGATATGAACCTGCAGAAGTAAGTAAGTCTGGTTGACTACATCATTCGAAACGATAATTGTTTGTAAATTAACCAAACCAAACCAAATAGATTTAGACTTTGCATAATCTTAACTTATTACCTTAAATTGGAGTGACGAAAAAACCGGCGCGGATTCGATCCAACGCCCCTCCAACAGAAGTGGAGTTTTATTTTGCTACTTCTTTGTTCTTTCTTGGAACACTTTTGGGTACCTTGAAAATCCCTTTTGGCAAGCTGAAACCTGTAATAATGTGATTCCCAAATCCCAATTAAGCAACATATTTAGAACAATGAGAAATGTCACAATTCATAGTACCATGGAAAATATTTTGATACACTATTTTTGTTATTTTTACCTTCATATATAAGTAATTAAAGAGTCCAATATGGAGTAAAAAGAAGTTTATAGTGGAACTTTCTCATTAGGAATTACTGAGTCGAAATATAATCCAATTTTTTCACTCATTTAAACAGTCAAATCCTCTAGAAGACATTACTGTGTATTTTCTACATTTCCAAAGATGTAAAAAAGTCTTTATGAAAATTTCAAAGTTGGGGGTTTTGACTTAAAAACACTGTTTCCTGCCCCTATTTTTCAACTTGTTGATGATTGACCAATGGAAATAGCCAATGCCCCCTCATTTCTTCGTGTCAATTATTATTCGCACAAGGAGACATGAATTACATTTCAACCAAAATAAAAGAATCCGGACTAATATTCTTTTAAAATAAAATTTATAATTTTTCACTTTTATTTTCAAGAATAGAATATATGAATTCTAGCAATCTTCATTTTGATTAAATACCATACAAAATAAAAATTTCAATTTCTAAAATGTTGTTAGGATTTCTAATTTTCTATAGAAGAAAGAAATTTTTTTGTTACATTACGCAGAACGAAATAAAATTTTATTTTTTTAAATTTATTATGTTTAAAGATTGTTTTCTCTATAGAATTCTCACTTTTATCAATCAATGTATTAATCAAATATGGAATCTTAATTTGGTAATGAAGAAGTAATATAAGTACTCGTATAATAAATTGGAAATTGTGACATAGACTAGTACGCACATGAGAGAGTGTTGCAAATTGGGAGTGGTCAAGAAATGGGGCACGAGACTGAGTCATAGGCTCATATGTTTCGGTCGTTATGTGTGTTTTTTTTGTTATATGTTGATTTGTCCGTATGTATTAAGGACTAACAAACATTATTCATTCTAATATGGGTTTTCAATGTTTTATGCCTAAAATCTTATTTCTTCAAAATAATTTTGTTTATGGTCAAAGGATGCTACAATTTGATCAAAAAGTCAAATCTTGGCGATCTCGAGAACTATAAAAAAATTTGTAGCCGAACATCTTAATTTTATGGAAATAATTACTCTCTCTATCTATCGATCTTTCCAGATACCCCGGAGTACTATTCACTTTGTCAAACTTAACTCACTTTGTTAGTTTATTTTAATCATCTATTTCATAAAATAAATTGTATTGTTACCTCGAGTTTTATAGAACTTTTCATGTATCTTTCTAATGTATAAATTTTATTTTTAGATTTTATCCTTACAATCAAACAAATTAAATTAAAAATAAAGTCAGTCAAAAAAGGAAGAAGTAATATAAATAAATAAAAGAAAAGGAAGACAAAAAAGGATTCCGGAAGATTCTAAAAATAATGAAAAATTGACTTACAGCTTCAATGTCGATCTTGTAAACAAGAAGCTTTCTCCTCTCCCTGCAACTGATCCTATACGCCACCGCCGCGTGCGCCACCGCTAAGGAAAACGAGCACAAAAACAGACCCATCTCCATCGCCCGTCCGTACCCTCCGCCGCCGCCGTTCACGGCGGCACTCCATCTCCCGCCGCTGCCGAACACATACGGCGCCTTCAGCGACAGGAACACCAGCGAGGAAACAGAGCACGCCGTCGCGGTCCCCAGATACGGGCCTCTCGACAACCTCGGACCGTCGCACAAGCTGTAAACAACTGTCGCCGCCGCAGCATTCGCCGGGAATCAAAGAAACGCCGCCACACCCGTCAGTACAATTTCTCAATTCATGCTTAAAAATTAAAAATCGTAAAAATCCCAAATCCGAAAAATCAAATACTTACACAAGATGACGGCGGAGCGGAGGATGGAGACGACGGGAATGTCGACGAGGGAAGAGCGGAAGTCGTAACTTCGGAGAAGGGAAGACAGAGAGGGGAGGGGGGTCGCCGGAGAAAGCGAGGCGGAGAACAGCGCCGAGGGTAAGAGGGCGTCGGCGATGACAAGAACCACCGGAGCGGACAAAATCAGGAGGGAAATGAGCATAGAAAGCAAGAAAAAGACAATCTTTATCCATCTCACCACTATGTTTTCATCTTTGGAGAATCCCATTATAAATCAGCTTTATGATGATTTTCTGGGGTCTCTGACAATTTTTTAAATTAATTTTGAGGGAAATTGTCTCCGGCGGCGTATATATATAAAAAATGAATGGTTGGTGGAAGAGTTTGAAGGGAAAATGGAGTGGGGAAGATGGGAGGAAGAAGCTAAATATACTGCTCTCTGTCTGAAAGAAGAATGAAGAAGAAGAAGGAGAAAGGTCAAATATGCTGACGTGTGGGTACCACTACTCACAGGTTCTTTGATTTGTCTTTGGGCCCCTCTCTCTCTCTCTGTGCGTCTAATGCGTGGACTTTAACCGGACGAGTAACCATATTAACCTCTAGAGGTTTTGCTAGAAGCCTAGAATTTTATTCCTGGATCTGCACGACTTAGCACGAGTGATGACAAAATGTGCGAAAAAGACTTGTGTTAATTTGAGGGGCCAATTGATCTAGACACTTAGCTTTCGACCAGAGTGGGACCAAGGTGTTACATGGTGTATCTCGTGTTTTTTCTTTCACGCTTGTTTTGTGATATAGTCAACTAGACCTGGCAAAACGGTCGGTCAGGTCGGGTTCGGGTTCGGTCACATCGGGTTCGGGTCACTTCGGGTTCGGGTCACTTCGGGTTCAGGTCACTTCGGGTTCGGGTCTAAGGATGCTTGTTCATGACCCAGAGCTATCAGGTTCGGGTTGACCCAACGGGTTAAGAGGCGTATTTAAAAATTGTAAATTTTCCATTTAGAGATGAAGTGATCAATGCATTTTTTCAAAACATAGAAAAAAAATCATTCAAAACAACAACAAAAAAGTAAACATAGCAAAAAATTTTAAACATCATCATGTCCCAAATGAACCATACAAGCACACTAATCAAAATACCAAATAATTTAGAGTTCAAACAAAATGATTAGAAGTTCATTCTCAAGTGAAGTCATTCCCATATCAATTTGATGTTTATCACGAGTAGCTTATCATGATGAATAAACTGTATTAAACACATCAAAAGTTAGGGAAGAATCAAAGCAAACCAAGAGAGCAAAAGCCTTATCTTGAGTTCTAGACATATGCAAAATTGCAGATTATTATATTTTTTTAAAAAATCTATTTTGACTATTAGCATTTAGCAGACAAATAAATTTGAGTACATATGGCTATTGAGGAATGGGCCAAATGGCTTTTATGCTACTCCAGGAGAAAAATAATATCACGTAAATGGAAAACATAGATTAAACAATACTCCCATTACTTCGTAAATAGAAAAAAGTCAAAAAACTGATTTTAAATTCTAAGTTTTTAACTTTTAAGAGAGAGTTAAACATGAGTTACGTCCAACGTAACTGAAGATGATGAATTAGGATTAGCAATTCCACTATTGTGCTTGTTTCTTAGGTTCCAAAAATCCAAACTTTTCTTGTGAAGAATAAAGAATTGTAGCTGTCAAAAACCAGACCCAAAAAATTGTACCTAGACCCAAATATAGACCCAAATACTCTACAAGTCTACAAAGAAAATACTCCGTAATTGTATAATCTAATGGAACCAAACCCAAATAAATGTGGCTGTCAAAAACAAAGGAAAGAAAACAAAAAAATTGAACCTCAACTAGACAATCGGATCGAGTAATCAGATCAGGTTTGCTAGAAGGTTTGGAGTTCGTCGTCGTTTTGGCCGCATCGTACCAGGAGCGTCCTCAATTTCGGGATCCGTCCCTGTGGAAGACGCCAACGAATCCATCACAGCCTAGACGTTTCCGGTTCGCCAATTGTCGTCCCCGCCGGCGATTCCGCCCCTGCTTTGATTCCGGCGCGCGAGACGGCTCAAAATTGCCGGAAGACGGCAACGATTAGCGGAGAAAAGTCGAGTTGGAGAGTCGGCCGATGGAGAGAGGGTGCAATTAGGTTTAACGGGTTTGAGTACGGTATTATTTGTCTATTTGATATTTGAGTAATAAATAAAAATATAAAATCTTACTAGCTAAGTTTAGAGTGCTTAACCCGTCGGGTCAGACCCGACCCAAAATTTTAACGGGTCTTCGGGTTCGGGTCATTTCGGGTTTGGGTCATAAAAATCATGTTCAAAACCCGCTAATTTCGGGTCGGGTTTCGGGTAAAAAACGGGTCGGGTCATATTTTGTCAGGTCTATAGTCAATGAGCAATAAATTATTTATTATAGCTAATTGAATAATTCACGAATTAATGAAGCATATTGATATTGATTGACTCAACATTTGTGAATGTGTCTAATGTCACAGAAATATGCAACTAGCTGACTTGTTTACTAAAACTTTTTCAAGGTCAATTTCTCACTTTCTATTGTTCAAATTGGATATTCGTCATCCTCATGTAACAACTTGAAGGGAGTGTTGAAAAATTAACTTGTTAATGGATTTTAATTATGTTATTGGGTGGGCTTGCAGTTATGATTTTTTGTAACTCTATATGTATATACTTTGTGTTAGCCCCTATTCTTCCATTTATGTTGGAAAAATCTGAAAGGTACGTTGTTGGAAGAAACTGGAAGATGTTGGAAAAAATTCGAAAAAGTTAGAAAATATTGAGAGAACTAAAATATTAAAAAGTCACTCAACTAAATGAACACTTAAATAAATATGTAAAAAACTATAATTTTTGATAAAAAAGAATGCATCCTTGTTTGTGTTTGAGATGATATGTTAAAAATTTAGATATGTATTATTATTATATATTCATCATATATAAATAACTCTTTAAATTGTTGTTGGAAGAAACTAGAAAGAGTTAAATAAAAATTGAAGGTTAGTATTTCCAAAGGAGTAGAGTCCTAATGATCTAAACTATTTGGTTTTTCATATTTACATCATGTTAGCCCCTAACTTTTTCTTGTATACCCTAAAATTAGAAATATGGCATCTTTCAAATGTGTGGAGCTAGACATTTGCATCGGCTCATTCCCAAGTGCCTGGCATTGTTGGTCAATTATGTCCTATAAAGAAGTAATACATGTACATGGATATGACAAAAATTACATCGGGTATCTTTAATTTTTTGGTAATAGCTCCCAAGTTCCACATTATTTTAAATATGTTTTGGGATATTCTTGATTTTTTAGACTCTCACGTCCCACATTATATAAAATATATTTCAGGGTGTTTAAAATTTTTGATTATACTCTGAGAGTATATTTTCTCAATTTAAGCATTATATTAAAAGTTCTTTTATTTTGACAAATTGAAGAATTTTTATTTGTATTGAATGAAATAATGATTATCTATGTAAAATTTAGTATTTATCAATGTAACAAACTTCCATTCATAATGTCCAAATAGACAAGATATACTTTCAAAGTATAATACCACAAATTTTAAATACCGTACACCTAGAGTATATTTTGGATAATTTAGGATTGAGAATTCTTATGAGAAAATCATGAGTACCTCGCATTATATTTAAGATAACGTGGAACGGGAGGTGAGAGTTATTTTCAGAAAATGACACTACGCGCGGGCTCGGCGCAATGTTATACGGAGTATTATGATGATGATGGTGATGATGCCAACTTTGCCACACCAAAAACCAGACCAAATGAAGCCGACAATATGCAGAGAAGACCTGTAGTGATTATTTTTACACATCCTCTATGAATTGATGTGTGCTTATCATGGAATATTTTGGTCTTCATCTGGTTTTGATATTCTAGAGTGCTAATTGCATAAATTTGATGTTGCTAGATCTTTGATCTAGTTTTGAGAACTCATTCAATGAATATGTTCAAAGCAAGATCAATTTGACTTCATAAGCGAGCGGGAAAGAAATTCATGCCGTTGTTTCGAAGGTGAATGACATATTTTATCATCAAGTGTTGAAGGCAGTTAAAAAGTTTATGAACATGTCATATGAGAAGCCGGATTGGATTGTTCAATTTTTGAATTATACTCCTTCCGTCCTTGAGTATTTATCCATTTTTGACTTTTTTTGTTCAAAATTGACAAACTTTGATCGTAAATTAAATTAAAGTGATATTACATATTCATACAAAAATAATTTTATCAGGTTTATTTTATAAAAAAATTTCAAAACATTATTTTATCTAATTCATGTACAGTATATATTTTATTTAATTACAGGTCAAAGTTAAAAATAATTAACAGAAAAAAAAATCAAAACTAGACAAATAATCGTGAATGCATAAAAGTAGTGTAAGTTTTGGGTCAAACATAGAAACGTGATTAATTCTTTGGCCAACGTTTGTCACACCTAATTACATTATTTTGGCGGCTGCGTCTAACTCTATGCGTTCTTGTCTTCTTCACTTTTACAGTTTACCCTCTTTGCCGACGGTGAAAATGACAAAGGAGTTATGGTTGTAAAAAGAGTAAATTCTCGCAACAACGATGAAAGACGATTACACACAACGGCAGTGGTTACAAAAGTAATCACCGTTTGGAAGAGAAGATAGAAAATGTGTGGGTTAGAAAAAGAATTATGGTCCCCTCGTTTCAATCTCTTATTTTCATTTGGAAGGATGTGCAAAATTCCATCTCTTTTATAATGATTATATTTAAAAATAGGTACAGAAACAAAAATAAAAAATTACGAGTAGATTGTTCTAAATTCTATTAAAAATTTTACAAAACAAAAGACAACAAGAATTTTAATTTTATCATACAATCAATGAAAACATGCATACAAATATAAGTTATTGAGATATTGTAACAGCACCGAAAAGATTAATTTGAGACGGAGAGAATACTGACGGAGAGTATTATACAAGTAATTAATATGTATATAAAGAATTTTTAGTAAATTAACATTATAATAACTCAATTACTCTCTATTATTGAGCAGTTAAAAAACAAGAGAAATTTACCTAAATAGGACTAAAACATAAGGCTAAACTCCACCATTGGTCCTTCAACTTTATCAATTGTGCACGATTGGTCCTTCAAGTTTTAAAAGTCCATAAATAGTCCTTCAACTTTATGAGTTATGCATGATTGGTCCTTCAAGTTTTAAAAGTGCATAAATAGTCCTTCAAGTACACGTAAGTCCTCCACATGAGGTCCTTTTGACAGTAAATGTTAAAAGCTAAATGGAATACTAGCTCCATATAATATGGAGTAATCGTACCTAGTGGAATTTACTCGTATTATATAAAACTAGTATTTTGTTTAACATTTAATATTTACTGTCAAAAAGACTTCATATGGAGGGCTGGCGTGTACCTGAAGGACTATTTATGGACTTTTGAAACTTGAAGGACCAATGGTGCAGAACTCATAAAGTTGAAGGACTATTTATGGACTTTTGAAACTTGAAGGGCCAATTGTGCACAACTGATAAAGTTGAAGGACCAATAGTGGATTTTAGCCAAAACATAATGACTTTCCCAATATAGGACCATATGTTTTTATTTATCAATGTAGGACTTTTGGTCATTATCAAGTAGTCATTATTCAAATAAATGTCCATCATTACAGGACATTATTCCTCTCACTAGGTCATTATTAAATCCTATTTAAGGAATAAAAAAGTTTAAATCCTACAATGGAAAAATCATTATGTTTTAGTCCTATTTAGTGCAAATTTTAGGAAAGACAATCCTTGTCATAAGTTTTGATTTTTATTTTTTGTCTTGAAAAAAAAGTGGCGGTTAATCTTGAACCGACCATAAATTTTGATACCATGTGAGGCCACATGCAAAACAAATCTATTTCCGAAATTATCGCTGGTTTTTCCAAAGGTACCCTTTGTAGTGGTGCGCCTGATTGAATTGCCTTCCACACCTTCCAGGGACCATTTTCTATCAAATTATTGATTTTTATTTTATTATTTTTATTTTTTAGTGGTTGGTGTTTAAATCTTTAGCATCTCTTTGGTACACGAGACTGATGGAATTAGAATTAAATTAAGAGTTGAAATTTTATGGAATTGATTTGGATGTAATCGAATTGTAAGTTTTTTGTATTACGCTTGTCCTGGTTGGTTCTTTTGACATCACAACCTGAGGGGAAATTATGACATCAAATGTCATATTATGACACCGGTACGATCATCGTAAAATATTGACGGTTCTTACCTTTGTCTACCTGACACCAATTAGGTTCCCTCCCCTAAACACCGAGTTGGAACGTTAACACTTGAGCCAAGTGGGGCGAGAGAGTCCTCCTACCACTTAAGCTAAGAAAGAAGCTCACTAGACAGAGTGACTTAAAATCTCTCCAATTTAAAATTCTTAATCCTTTTTTTAAAATAATTCGAACCAAGAACTAGATTTATCTGGCCAAAAGGAGCTGTGGGTATGTACTGCGCCTCGTTTTAGAGAGAGAAAAAAGACAAATGCAAAATCAGTGACCGACTAATTTTGTTCTTAGTCTTTTTGTTCTAAATAATCTGGTTTTGATATTCAGAGATAACACATCTATAAACATAAAATTCACTTGCGATGTGGGCATTGAGCCCTTGAAGAAGTGGTCTGAAACACCAATTCAACCACTAGTCCTAAGCTTCAATCTTAATGTTAAGAATTTAGAAAAATGATACTTAAAAGACTTGTTTCTTAAGTTTTTGAAAATATACCCTAAAGAATTTGGAGGCAAATACCTCCTGCAACAGTTACAAACATCCCCCAAGTAGGAACCAAGACAGAACCTAAATTATCTTCTATTACTCGTAAAAGCTGTACACTAACTGCAGTTCCCAGTTTCTTGAAGTGGATTGTTTTGTTGAATAAATCCACCATATAAGCAAGAAAAAATGAGGCATAACTTCTTCTGCAGTTCCCACTTACTCAAGAGAGAATGGCCAATGTGGACTACTGCTCATTTGTTGTGCACATATGAACTTAAATTTTACATGAGATGTATATAAGTTTCTCTATAAGGTGCTTGCAGTGTACCTACCTGGTCACAATGTTAGCTCACCGCAATCGGAAATGATCACCTTGCTCTTGGGTGTTCCAATTTGCCTTCCTTCTCCCTCAATCTTGTGGACGATGTCCATCCCCGAAAGGACTTTGCCAAACACAACGTGTCGCCCATCCAACCTATCCAAACCAACAACAATAGCAAACCAAGAAAAATCGCACATAAAGTATGTGTGTATGCAGACCTTACCCCTACTAGAAAGTTGACATACTCTAATCAAGAGACCCAACTCAAATACACATGTACAAAAAAGAAATAAGTGTAGCACAAACGAAGTACAAACATAGACAAAACCGACTCAAAGAACTAGACATAAAGCACATATGCACAACTGCACAGGCTACATACTAATGCATAAAAACACACCAGCATCAACTGCAACTTAAGGCCCTCAAATCTACTCTACTATTACAATCCTAGATCTTCAGGTATTCTTATCTAATGTCATACTCGGTAAGATCGTGAAGTCGTAACTCGTGCCTAATCACCTTATTCCAACTCTTTCTAGGTGTACCTCTACCCTTTCTCACACTCTATACAAAACCAAAGAGGAAAATAATTCATCCAAAGGCAGCAAACAGATCTATGTGGACATGAAATACAATAAGGGAAAATCTGGCAAGAAAAAAACAAATGTAAATTTAAAAGCATTTCTATGGTGCAAGAGAAGTACGGAGTATTAAGTATTAACTACTCTACCAGCTAGTTGTCACTGTGGTGATGAAAAATTGTGACCCATTGGTATCTGGCCCAGCATTTGCCATTGACAGAACTCCTGCACCAAACAAGAAAGATTGAGAGCGCATGAGTTCAGTTGAAATTGTTGAAAAGGTGGTTGTTATTAACGAAGTGGCTGAAATTGTTGAATTATGAAAAAGAAAATACTTTGCACATATTCTAGTGATACAAAACAAAGAGAAAAAATATGTGAAAAACGGCTGAATGATCATCTTCAATCACTTTTCAACCAAAAAGATTTTTTTTAAAAACCAAACATGCATCTTAAATCCCACTATGTTCAGTAATAACCAATTCAGAGTGTGCTATGCAGTCAAACAGATTATTATTTGCTAAAAAATACTCCTCCGTCCTAAAACTATCTTTCCGGTTTGACGGAAGTGATTTTTAAGGAAGTGTAAAAATTGTGTTGACATTCCCCTAACTTCACCCTACAATGCACAGAACAATTACAATTAAGCTTATCCTGTTGATCATCAGAACAAATAGTTTTTGACTTGGTAATTTAGTTGAAATAGATGATGTAGCCAAGCACTTTTCATTTTAGAAATCCAGCAGATTCACTATTTTCAGCTAAATTCCCCTTAACAACCGGTGCCTATGTATTAAGTGGAACAGGATATGCCTCTACAATGGTAATGTTTGGTTTTGAAACATTTACCAGAACCAGTGTGCTTTAGTTTGAAGTTCTCATCTGCAAAGCTGTTCCCAAATATTGATTCGCCTCCAGTCCCATCCCCATGAGTGAAGTCCCCTCCCTGGATCATGAAGCTAGGTATAATCCGATGAAAAGCAGTCCCCTTGTAATGGAGACGCTTCCCACTCTTTCCCTTTCCTTTTTCTCCTGCAATTGCAGAAAACCACACAGTCGCTGCAATTGAATTCAGCATCCACTCAAAAGAGTAAATTGGTTCAGAATACCAAATTAGGAAAGATTAAAAATTACTGCTTGGTTGATTTGAAAATATCAAATTAGGAAAGATCAAAATATCAAAAAATAGGTGATTTGAAACGGGAGCAAAAAATCACTACTCGTAGTAGGTTGTCACTAACCTGTGCATAGAGCTCGGAAATTTTCTGCAGAGTGGACACACATAAACATCACCTCAGTTTCATATTTCAATTTCTAGTTGATAAGATGGATGATTTAGAAGAGTGTGCTACAATACCTACAGTTTTTGGAACGACATTTCCAAAGAGCCCCATGACGACACGACCTGAAATGGAGGCTGACACGATTACGGGACATATCTCTACCAGAAATCCAAGTATAAATATCTTCCAAAGTAGAGCATGTGAAAAGCCAAGGCCCAGGACAAAGAAGGCATAAGCTTTGTTTTGGAAACAACGTTTGTGATTAGCGTTAACTTTTTGAATTGTTTTTTTAACGTTGTAGATTAATTAAACCTGACGCTAAAAGCTACCGTAAGATAGAATTTTCAAAAAGCCGAAGCTAAACATTGAAGTTTATGTCAGCCAGAGCAGTAGATTATAGGGCATTAACATTTTCCTGTCATTTATAGAATATTAACAACAAATGCTTGCCTGCATGTTTTCCATCAATTTCAATGTCAAAATATACTCTGTGCGTAACACCCTCGAGATCTTCAGTAGTTTTTGCCTAGAGTAATTCGCAGAACATAATTTGTATTCAACAAAAAAATTGAAATACAGAAACCTAACTCTGACGAAGAAAACCGAAGATGATTTCTATCAAATCGAACCTCGTGATTGATGATTTTCTGGTCGGATGGATCTGCAGCAGAATTTAATCGGTTCTGCAGAGAAAATGCAAAAGCCAAAGCAAATCATTTAAGATTTCCGCAATAAGAGTGCGAGATAAATCTGTTTTTAATTGATTCAAGTGATAATGATTAGATAGGAAATGAGGGATAAATTTACCAGAATGAGAGCTAGGGTTCCAAGCATCATGAGAAACCATAGGAGTAGCACTGGAACCAGATTTTTACGGTTCCCCGCCATTCCGCTGCCGTGACTTGGCGGAAATTTTAACACTGGTTAGCCATTTGAAGTTCGAACTAGAAAAACGTAAATAGCGGTGAATTGGACCCGGAACCGATAGTGGGCGTGCCCGGACAATTTTGATTCTCTTATTACCTAACTAAACTATGCTTCCAAAAACATCCAAATTGGCACACTAGGTTGACCCATTAATTATTGGTCTTAAGGGACTACTTTCTCTTAATTTTTTATTAATGTAAAAATTTGACTAAGTATAATTAATCAATTCATTTTTCACTTGATGTCACTTTTGATACCACACTAAATATTATTGTATGTTTACTTAATTCTAAGTAAATACTCATATTAAACAACTCAAACCTTTTGCCTGAGTCAAGGACCTAAAAAGGAGTTCCACCAAGGTAGTCTATGATCTAACGAGCCAGTTTGCACAGGAGCCTTGGTCTTCCTTAAACAATGATAGTTTGCACGTAAATACGATAATTTGTAGCGAGCAACCTAAAGACGACGGGTACATTGAATGCTCTCCTTTGAGAACTTGTGTGTGGCCTTTCTAGACAATGTCACATTTTCTCTTTAGACTTTTTGCCCCCTCCTGAATTATAGATCCATTCACGAAGCACAACATACACCCCACGAGAAGTAATAATGTTAAGGTATAGCGATACCAGACTTTAACACCTATGTAGATAAACACTGATTGTTTGAATCGTACAAATAATTAATCATGGTTTATGCATGTTATAAAATGCATATACCAAATTTATTGTCAAATGTAAATAGACGTAGCTCAGCTGGTCAAAAGAGTAGTGTAATAAAAAATTAGCCTGGATTCAAATCTTGGTAACAATGAAAAAACAATCATAAGCCAAACTTTAGTTTTTTGTCAGACATCATTAACCAGATTGAAATTATAACTCAATTTAACTTTTGGAATGTAAGAATCAATCAATGGATTTGGGCAGCTAAATGATACTTCTCCAATGGGTTTGGTATATATTCTGCCCTGATTGTTTGGTTTTTGTTTGGACCCCACTTCCGCCATCAAGTTCACGCCTCAAAGTTCAAACCATTGCATGACAATTGCTTATACAAACCAATCGATCAAATAAAATCCCTAAGCCCGTTCCCGCCACTCGAATCTTCCGGCGTCCTCCAACAATGTCAAAGCAGACGTACAGCGTCTGCTTCTGCTTCCGTCGGCGGTTCCACCTGGCGGAGGCCGAGGCTCCGGCGGAGATCAGGAGCATATTCAACCAATACTCGGAAAACGGGGTGATGAGCGTGGTTAACCTCCACCGCTTCCTGATCGAGGTTCAGAAGGAGGAGAACGCGACGGTGGAGGACGCTCAGGCCCTCGCCGATAGCCTCCATTACCTCAAGCTTCTGCGTCACAAAGGCCTCAATCTCCACGAATTTTTCAAGTACATCTCCCGCGGTGCGAATTCCCTCATTAATCCTAAAATCGGGGTAACTTTCTATTTCCTCCTTGAAATTTGAGTTTAATTGCTGATCGGAGTATCTAAATTTTTATTCTTAGTTTCCTTATTTGGAGGGAAAGTCCAGGCCTGCTGTAATTTCATATATTTATTACTCCGCATTTCCTTTTCTTCAAGTGACTATATCTAATTGATGTCCTTATTGTTGGTAAATGGGCTTACGGGAGATCGTTTTCGAGCTTAAATATGGGTCTCTATGAAATGCAAATGCATTATACTAAGTGGGCAAAGGTTTTGATACTTTATTCAGCAAAAATGGTTAATGTGTGAATTGAGAAATTAATGAAGTGGGTTTCAAAAGGTAGAATGTGTTCCAAGTTCAAGTCATTAAAGCTCCCTTAAAAAATGATGAAAATCTTTATGACATCATAAAGTGCTTTTATGAGAGGATAAAACTTGAACATCTGCGCGCTGCTGCCGGCTCGGTGTGTGCAAAATGGGACACAGGCGCGGGCTGGTGGGGGTCTAGGACTCTATATGATACCTGGAAAGCCTTCCTTCTATATACGAAATACGGAGTAACCACTAATTTGAAATAACAGAACGTGTATTTCAAATTTAACTACAGCTCAAGATACCAAGTTGCGCATACGAGAATCATCAGTGTTGCCACAACAACTCTGTCAAATGCCCCTCGATTTACAAGCTCCTGTCTTGAAGTTTACTTGAGCAGAAGCATACATTGAGCTCTCTTCGTTTTTCGGGAATCCATCCCTCCAAAATAATTACCCTTCAATTAGTTCCCCTTCGTTTTTCAGTTTGCCGAAGTTAACGTAGGCCACACTTCTACTTAACTCGTTAGACATTTTATCCTGGAAGCAAGTCTATCATGTTGTACCAATGCGGTAGGTGACTGATATTGTTTCAAGGATAGTCTTCCAGTGACTCGTCTCTTTTGGCAACCCAAATACACAGAACCAAAAAGTCGCTATTGCTATCCTCCTTTCTTGAGTTTCAACGAAGCTTCTATTTCATTATAACATTCTAATTCAACTACATTGTATTCATTGGGTAAACACTATATATATTACTATTCCTGGTTTTGTGACCGCACTCTTGAAACAATAGTTATTAGCTTATATGCCGTATAATTAAGTGATAGTGTATAATTTTTCCAGATTCACCATGATATGAATTCTCCATTATCCCACTACTTCATATACACTGGCCATAATTCTTATTTAACTGGGAATCAACTAAGCAGTGACTGCAGTGATGCCCCTATTATTCAAGCCCTGCAGAGAGGTGTTCGAGTAATTGAGCTCGATATATGGCCAAACGCAACAAAGAATAATGTCGATGTTCTTCATGGCAGGTATGCCTTTGATTAGTGAAGTTTTTTGTGTTTGTGTTTGGAATGTGGATGTCCATTTATTGTGTTCTCCTGTATACAATAGTTTTCCTTGTGTGCTTCATGCTCTTGTTTAGAACGCTGACCACTCCAGTGGCACTTAGCAAATGTTTGAAGTCTATTAAGGAGTATGCATTCTCTGCATCTGAGTATCCTTTGATAATAACACTGGAAGACCATCTCACTCCAGATCTTCAGGCCAAAGTGGCACAGGTGTGTATATATATGCATTTTGACATGAAGTAAAAGCCAGGTTCATGGATGGACTAATAAGTGCATTCATGGCTGCATTCCAGATGATCACACAAACATTTGGAAACATGCTGTATTCTCCTGGCACAGAATGCTTGAAGGAATTCCCTTCACCCGAGTCATTGAAAAAGCGAGTTATTATATCAACTAAACCACCGAAAGAGTACCAACAAACAAAGGAATTTAAGGAGAAGACAACTAAAGAAAGCAGTTCTGCAGAGACAGAAGCTTGGGGGAGTGAAGTTCTAGATCTGCCTCCAACAAATAATAATGACAAGGTTCATAAAGTTTTGTTCATACTCCGTATTAGTTGAGCGAGTTTTAAGCAGATATAGTCATAGCTACTGTCGTAGCTAGCATACCAAGAGCCCATCAGATTAGACTTTAAATAGTTGAAGTGGTTAAATGTGCTGAAATTTTTGAAGTTATGACAAAAATGGCTGAATTTTTTGAATTATTAATAAAATATAAAATTTAATGAAAAAGTTAAAATCATCATCTTCATCAACTTCAGCCAAAAAAAGTATATGTACCTTATTTCATTACTTTATTAACATTTACAAAATGCAGCATGCAAAGTGCTTTATAAGGCTGATTTGTCAGAATAAGTGGCTACCATACAGACACTAACATCTTTCCACCAGGATGGTACTGATGATGTTGAATATGACGATGAAGAAGAAGATCCAAAATCAGAACAGAATGAGGCACCACAATTCAGGAATTTGATTGCCATTCATGCTGGAAAGGGGAAGGGTGGACTGTCTGACTGGCTTAGAATTGATACTAATAAAGTGAGACGGCTTAGCTTGAGTGAGCCACAGCTTGAAAAAGCAGTCACAACACATGGAAAAGAAATCATTCGGTATGTGTTCGGTTCTCCCTCAATTCGCAGACTGAATTCAAAAAGTTCATACAATAAACTCTCATTATGTAGTCTTGTCTGGTGTATACATTTAATTGAATAAAAAAACTTTAATGTTGCCAACAGACATTTAAAAGGATATTTACAGAACTATACAAGAAAAAGTAAATTTATTATGAATATATGATGAAGACATTGGTGTAACTGAGCGAACTATCAAACGATCATATCCCCCCACTGTACAAACATGGAAGAATGATAAGTTAGTTACTCAGATCTGTGTTTTTTCTTGCCATATTTCTTTGTTGCAGATTCACGCAACAAAATTTATTGAGAATTTACCCAAAGGGCATACGCGTCAACTCATCTAATTATAATCCCTTAATTGGCTGGACGCATGGAGCTCAAATGGTGGCATTTAATATGCAGGTTAGGTTTGTCCTTTATTACAAATAGAGTTGTAGATGAAATATGCTGTTGAATACTGCTAGTATATGCCTTTGGCATTTCACAAAATAACTTACTGTAATTTATCTCTGATCCGCTATTGACTGTAATTCTGTTGAATTGAAATTTGAAAAATACTCAATTAAAATTTCTTCCCTCAGGGTCATGGTAGATCACTTTGGTTGATGCAAGGCATGTTCAGAGCCAATGGTGGGTGTGGATATGTCAAGAAACCGGCCATATTACTGGAATCTGATAATTCATATGATTTATTAGTTAATAAAAACGTTTCATCACGCGTTAAAAAAACGTTGAAGGTAACTAGAGAGACTCAGGGCTCTCAATTGTATATATTCAATATATTATCATGAAGAGATTTCTACTTTGCGTGTGTAAAACGATTGAATTATTATGAACCAGGTGACTGTGTATATGGGTGAAGGATGGCATCATGACTTCCGTCATACTCACTTCGATGCATATTCACCTCCAGATTTCTATGCAAAGGTACTTTCTTTTTCTTCCTTTTTATTTCAAGTGGCCAATTGTTATTGGTTAGCCACTTTTCTTGACCTGTCATATTTGTTACTCCATACTAAATACGGAGTACAATACTAGAACTACAAATTTTTTTTGTTACCTTTCACACCGTTGAGCCTTTCCAAAATTTTCATGTTGGCAATGATTATGAGACATTCTCCGTGCAGGTGGGAATTGCTGGAGTTCCAGCTGATTGTGTGATGCAGAAAACAAAGGTAGTAGAGAACAACTGGATACCTATATGGAATGAGAGTTTTGAGTTCCCACTAACGGCTCCTGAATTAGCTCTTCTGCGTTTAGAAGTTCACGAGTACGACTCGTCCGGGAAAGATGACTTTGCAGGGCAAACGTGCATCCCAATCTCCGAATTGAGACAGGGGATCCGAGCAGCCCCTCTCCATGATCGTAAGGGTGATAAGCTTAAATCTGTAAAGCTGCTTCTGAAACTTGACTTTCTTTGACTTTCTCTGGAACTTGACTTTGCTGGAATGGTACCCCAGAGCCATTCCAGCAAGGGTGTTTTCCGTAATTTCAATGCTTTCAGTATGATGGTGCCCCCTTAGAATGTAATTCCGTTTCTGTCACTGTACATAATCCAGGCAACTAAGTCGTCATTACACCGGTTTCAACACCGGCGGGATGACATAATCAAAGTTCTTAGTGGCCGGTAAGTTTAAAGAAGAGCCGGTAAAGGTTTGACACAATCACCCCAATTGGTATTAATTTGCTTTTATTTTAATTTGATTTTGTTCTTAATCCTAGTTCCCGCTCAAAATTGGTAATAGTTTAATTTGATTTTAAACTGCTTTTAGTTTGATTTAATTGCGTTTGTAATTAGTTGAACTTGACTAAATTTGCAGGATGCTAATAATCATTTAATGGATATTTTTTGCTATACTGTGAGAAAATGAAAGGCAACACATTGACGCTAGTGGCTTATTTAGATTTCATATGGATTGATATATCTTAAATTATGATATTAATGCCTTATTAGTTTGTCTTATATCAGGTTAAGAATCATATTTTAAAATGTTTAAACATACACTTCCACAAGATAATGTTATTGAACATCAAGCCACAATTTTTTATTCAACAAACTCAAAGATCATAGAAACTTTAGTTGAGAAAACTTCAAAAGTAGTCTACAATTCAAGAAAATCAAAAATGATTTTGTAGGATTTTTGTAATTTAGGTAATAAGAGCATGGGCAGTGGCGTGTCAAAGCCACTGCCACGCATGCCAGCTCAGCATTCTTACTCTATTTCCATGGTAAAGCAGTGCATTTTTCCTTGCAAATCGTGGCAAGTGTGAGCCAGCCACTATTTTTCCTTTTTTATTTTTTTTGTTAAAAAAAGAAGTTTTTTTATTTAATTAAGATTAGAGGCACTGTTTTACATTTTTAACCCTTTCTCTTTTTCTTTACAATTTATTTTCTTTTTCAAAACAATCTAACTTGAGACTAAAAATTATACATTTTTAAACATTAATGTTTTATGTGAAATTATATAATTTAAATTAAAAAATTTTAAAATTTAATTTTCTCTTTGTACAATTAAAACTTTACAAGAAAATACAATAATTTATAATAAAAAAGCACGCATTAGCTAATTAAAATATGTCAAAAATGTTAACATTGCCAAAAAAATTACAATTTTTTATTAAAATAAGGTAAGTAAAATAATTTGTGAAATTAAAATATATCAAAAAGGTATAAAAATGATAAAAATGGTGACTTGCCACTGCAAGACATACCACTCCACTCATGTACCACACGCTGACTAGACAGATTTTGATTGGCTAAAATACTCCACATCATCGTGTGACATTCCATTTCTTACTTGTCATTGCCTATGCTATAAGGAGTATCATGTTAAGCCTTTATTATTAACCATTGTTATCATTTTATTTTACCTTTTGTCTAAAAACAATTTTGCACCCCCTTCTACAAGTTTCTTGGCTCCGCCACTTTCTTATTACTCATTCTCTTTAGTTTGTGAAATATAAACCAACTTTCATAAGCATTTCTTGCATTTAATGTTTTAATTTTAATTTTTTTTATCATTCTTTGGTTAAAGGTACTTTTGATTTTTCAAAAATTAAAAATTTTGTTACATTTTATGGTGTGAATTCTACGTATATATTCATCCCGATTCATACCAAAATCGATACTCAACCATCTCGAATCATACCAAACCGATACATAAAAATTGGAATCGATACAACATTAGATCTCATACCAAATTGAAATATTTAATACAAAGAACCCATCTTCTCTAGAGTATATAAAAGCTAGCCTGTCATAAAATATACGGAGTAATTACTTCTCACTCACTATTCAGACCTGTGTCGTCATCACGTACCGGAGAAGGAAGAGGGAAGGCGCTACCGAATATGATTCATGTACACCACCACCGTTATTATTGTTGGAATATTTGACTCTTAACGGGACAACTTTAGATGTAAATTCGGTAGGGTCTACAAAATTATTTTTTTCAAAATAAATACGGACGGTTATTATTCTAAATGAGGCAAGTATTTTGACATATTGTGCGCCAAGATTAGTGCCCGGGTGAATGAGAAATTAATTCACAAAATTATTCAAATAGATTGTATTAATTCCCCCTTTGGAAGGGAGGAGATCACAATCTTATTTAGCAATTTCTATACATGGACTGCATTCTTCTAATTTAAAAACACTCTGCTACTTCAAACTGCTTTTCATACCTAAGTTACTCTAGAACCAAATTCTTAAATCTATCAATATTTTTTAAGTAATATAGCACTAAAGAATTCTTACTATAAATTGTATTCCCTCCGTCTCCAATTTGATTACAAATTGCGGGTTATGGAGTAAAATTTCCTACTTTTTGAAATCATTTTATTTACAAATTGGTATATCAATAAGTTATAAAAATTACATATTAAAAAACTACGTCAAAAGTTCTACAAAACAAGAGGTGACAAGAATATTTTATTTTATCAAATACTTGATGAAATCGTGTAAACAAGCAAAAGTTATCGAGAAGAGAAAAAAAAAATTATAATCTATTTAAGGACGGAAGGAGTATAAAATTAGAGATATTTTAAAATACTCCGGAATTATTACAAGAAAAAAACCGAGGATATGGAGATGAATTTTCTATGAGAAAATCAGTGGTCTCGATATGGGATTGCGACTCTTAATTATACTCCGGGGTATACACCACCATATATTCTTTTTAGGACATCCTATTTGCACGGTTCATGCGGTCAGAGGAGGCTTCAACGTTTGAGCAAAAAAAACAAAAATGGGATTCGGGATTTAAAAAGTCTGTGGGGACGACTTGGTTTGTTTGTTAGTTTAAAGAAAGCAGATTCCAAATACCCGTTATAAATTGCACCAATGAGCAATATCTGCACATTCCCCCTTTTAATTTATAAGGAGTATATTCAAAATTGAGCAAACTCTTTAATTTGTTCTTCTTTATAGTCTTTATATTCAAAATTGAGTAAAATTTTTAATTTTTTTAATGCTCTTTTATACGAAATTTTTCATATTTAATTTTTATTATCAACTTTTATGCATGGGATTTTTTTATGGTATCTTTTCAGAGATAATCTTTTTGTATATTTTAGCAAATTTCTTTTTAATTAGAAGGTTAAAAATATAATTTATTTCCGTGAATTATTCTGATTTTGGCTTCACAGACTACAAAACAATAAATCCATGCGTTATGACGGATTTGACGAGGGCTAGCTTGATAGAGTATTAATAAATATGACACAGAGTGATAAAAAATGCGTTTGCTGTATGACATAAAATGGGGTGTGACAAGAACAATGTATGAATAACACAACCGATCAATTGTGCTACCGCCGTTGTTTTCTTTGGTGGTTAGGCTAACAAATCTTATACTCAAAAAAATGTTATAAGTGGCAAACATATTGGTAATAAGTTATACTCCCTATAAATTATTTTTAAATGATCTAAGAATGAAATCTAAAATATACGAGTGATAAGTTACTTTTGTTTAGTTTGTGATTATGACGTTTGTGACTCTAGTATTATTAAAGAAAGGCAATAATTGTTCAAAGTGAGACAATAATTCTAAGACAAAAAACATACTCCCTCCGTCCATGTATGATCTTCCCATTACGCGTTACGAGGCTTGACCGACTTTATTTTCAATTTAATTTAATTAATCATAGGAGTAAAATTTTAAAATAAATTTATATAGTAATAAACTACATGAAAAGTTCTACAAAACTAGAGGTGACAAGACTATATTATTTTATGAAATGACTAGTAAAATTGAGCAAATAAAGTGAGTAAAGTTTGACCCTGTGAATAGTGTCTGAGAAGATCTATGGTGGACAGAGGGAGTAAAAAATACTCTCTGTCGTGTAAGCTAAGGGCTTGTTTAGGAATAGCGATACAAATTAGCGTTAGCGTTTTGGATAAAATTTTAACTATGCTAATTATTTTAAAAATGCTAACGTTAATACCTAACGCTATTTCGAGAGAGACTCTAAGACATCTTAAAATTTGAGCTGGTAAGGATTCTAAATAGGTTGCATTAAAATTAACTTAAAAAGACATTCGTTGTACAAAAAATGTTGAATTCACACACGTTCAAATATGTTTGCTGGAATAAATTACGAAGTAGTGGGATGCATTTAACAATAATGGAGTGCATTTATCAATTCCCTGGTTAATGATTTTATTTAAATGAGGCCTGACAGCTGGATACGGGCGGTTCCAAACCCTAGACTGCACCCCTATATAAAAAAGCCTAGTCACCCATCGCATTTATTACCCTATCCCTAAAATGTCTCTCCCAATCCGCCGTCGCGAAGAAAGAGGCAGAAACCGCTTTTTCCCCAGCTGTGTCATCCCTTTCTGGGGGAGGAGACCCGGCGGCGGCCCAACGGGATCTGATGCGAGCACACCGCCCGTAGTCCCATCCCCTCCACCTTCCCCCCCGCCACAGCCAGACCGTGGGCCGGAGTTTGAAGAGATCCTCGCCAGGATCGAAAAAACTCTCGACGGATTGAAAAAGAAGCACGTCCAGGTAGTGCAGCTGAATGACAGTTCACTGAGCACGGTCAGATGGACCTTGGCTCAGTTGTCTTCCTTTGTCTTCTTCCTCCCTATTTCTCAATGTCTTGAGGGGCATGGGGTTGAGGGCTCTCTTCGCAGGTGCTGTTGTTATGTGCTGTCTGCTTTCTTATGCTGCAACAAGCCTTCGCTCCTTCCTTCCAAGGTTCAAGTCTCTGCAGAAGGAATTGAATATCCTACAGAGAAAGAGGGCTGTTTTGAATGAGGACTTCACTGCCTTCAAGAAGGCTGCCATTACTGCCCGAGTTGAGGATGTGCAAGAGGGACTTCTCATTTTCGAGGAGTTCATGGAAGTCTCCCAGGGAGATCTTTCCATGAACTCATCTCTGATCCTCATGCAGTGTGGAGTGTTGTTTCGTGGTGCGATGATGAGTTAATTTAGCTAGTTTGGTGGGTTCAAAATAATAATTTCTTGCTTGTTCTTATGGTGGGTCAAAAATAATACGGAGTATTTAATTTTGTGATGCTGGATGTTGATTGTGTCTCTGGTCATTGTGATTTTGAGTGTTTTGCTTCAATTTCGATGCGTTTATCAGTTTTCTCTTCCCTCTTTCTTCCTTCTTTTTTTTTTGTTGAAAAATAAAAGGTGCAAGTATAATTAAAATTGGTACGATTTAATTTTCTAACGGTCCTAGGGGTGGACACGGTACGGTTCCGGTTCTAGTACAGCCACCCCTTGGTACCGGTACCAATAGAGGACTGGCCGGTACCGGTTCCCGGACCGGCGGTTTCGATACCAAACCGTCCGGTTTTGGTCACCCCTATTTTTCTTTTCTTCTTTTTTTTTTTTGCTTTTTTATTAAATTTTTAAAGTGTAAAATTGTGTATGTGCAATTGTTAGTGGAAAGAATGAAATAAAAAATCTAAAAATGAAATTGATAATGGAAAGAATGAAATAAAAAAAATAAAAAAATATAAATAAAAAAAAAATAATAACGGTACCAGAACTGCAACCGGAACTACCGGTGCCGATAACGAAACACGAGTACTGGAACCGATACCGAATGAGGCGGTTACGGTACGTCCCGGCTGGCAGTGACGGTGGGGACATTGAATGCTCTCGTTTGAGAACTTGCGTGTGGCCTTTCTAGACAATGTCACATTTTCTCTTTAGACTTTTTACCCCCTCCTGAATTATAGGTCCATGCACGAAGCACAACATACACCTCACGAGAAGTAATAATGTTAAGGTATAACAATACCAAATTTTAACACCTATGTAGACACACACTAATTGTTTGAATCATACAAATAATTAATCATTGCTTATGCATGTTATAAAATGCATACACCAAATTTATTGTCAAATGTAAAAAGACATAGCTGAACTGGTCAAAAGAGTAATGTCATCAAAAAATTAGCCTAAATTCAAATCTTGGTAACAATGAAAAAATAATCATAAGCCAAACATTAGTCTTTTGTCATACCTCATTCACCGGATTGAAATTATAACTCAATTTAGTGAGTAAGTCTTTGAATGTGAGAATCAATCAATGGATTTGGGCAGCTAAATGGGTTTGGTATATATTCTGCCCTGGTTGTTTGGTTTTTGTTTGGACCCCACTTCTTAACGCCTCAAAGTTCAAACAATTGCAACTTGCAAGACAATTGCTTATACAAATCAATCGATCAAATAAAATCCCTAAGCCCGTTCCCGCCACTCGAATCTTCCGGCGTCCTCTAACAATGTCAAAGCAGACGTACAGCGTCTGCTTCTGCTTCCGTCGGCGGTTCCACCTGGCGGAGGCCGAGACTCCGGCGGAGATCAGGAGCATATTCAACCAATACTCGGAAAACGGGGTGATGAGCGTGGCTAACCTCCACCGCTTCCTGATCGAGGTTCAGAAGGAGGAGAACGCGACGGTGGAGGACGCTCAGGCCCTCGCCGATAGCCTCCATTAAATCAAGCTTCTGCGTCACAAAGGCCTCAATCTCAACGAATTTTTCAAGTATATCTCCGGCGGTGCGAATTCCCTCATTAATCCTAAAATCGGGGTAACTTTCTATTTCCTCCCTGAAATTTTAGTTTAATTGCTGATCGGAGTTTCTAAATTTTTATTCTTAGTTTCCTTATTTGGAGGGAAAGTCCAGGCCTGCTGTGATTTCATAAATTTATTACTCCGCATTTCCTTTTTTTTCAAGTGACTATATCTAATTGATGCCCTTATTTTTGGTAAATGGGCTTACGGGAGATCGTTTTCGAGCTTAAATATGGGTCGTTACGAAATGCGAATGCATTATACTAAGGGGGCAAAGGTTTTGATACTTTATTCAGCAAAAAATGGTTAATGTGCGAATTGAGAAATTAATGAAGTGGGTTTCAAATGGTAGAATGTGTTCCAAGTTCAACTCATTAAAACTCCCTTATAGAATGATGAAAAACTCTATGACATCATAAAGTGCTTTTATGAGAGGATAAACCTTGAATCTCTGTGTGTGCAAAATGGGACACAGGCGCATGCTGTCGGGGCTCTAGGACTCTATATGATACCTGGGAAGCCTTCCTTCTATATACAAAATTATCACTGACTTGAAATAACGGAACATGTATTTCAAATTTAACTACGGCTAAAGATACCAAAGTGCGCATACGAGAATCATCAGTGTTGCCACAACAACTCTGTCGAGTGCCCCTCGATTTACAAGCTCCTGTTTTGAAGTTTACTCGAGCAGAAGCATACATTGAGCTCTCTTCGTTTTTCAGCAATCCATTCCTCCAAAGTAATTACCCTTCGATTAGTTCCCCTTCGTTTTTCAGTTTGCCGAAGTTAACATAGGCCACACTTCTACTTAACTCGTTAGACATTTGATCCTGGAAGCAAGTCTATCACGTTGTACCAAAAAGTCGCTATTGCTATCCTCCTTTCTTGAGTTTCAACGATGCTTCTATTTCATTATAACATTCTAATTCAACTACATTGTATTCATTGGGTAAACACTATTTATATTACTATTCCTGGTTTTGTGACCGCACTCTTGAAACGATAGTTATTAGCTGATATGCCGTATAATTAAGTGATAGTGTATAATTTTTCCAGATTCACCACGATATGAATTCTCCATTATCCCACTACTTCATATACACTGGCCATAATTCTTATTTAACTGGGAATCAACTAAGCAGTGACTGCAGTGATGCCCCTATTATTCAAGCCCTGCAGAGAGGTGTTCGAGTAATCGAGCTCGATATATGGCCAAACAAAACAAAGAATATTGTCGATGTTCTTCATGGCAGGTATGCCATTGATTATTGAAGTTTTTTGTGCTTGTGTTTGGAATTTGGATGTCCATTTATTGTGTTCTCCTGTATTTAATAGTTTTCCTTGTGTGCTTCATGCTCTTGTTTAGAACGCTGACCACTCCAGTGGCACTTAGCAAATGCTTGAAGTCTATTAAGGAGTATGCATTCTCTGCATCTGAGTACCCTTTGATAATAACACTCGAAGACCATCTCACTCCAGATCTTCAGGCCAAAGTGGCACAGGTTTGTATCTATATGCATTTTGCCATGAAGTAAAAGCCAGGTTCATGGATGGGCTAATAAGTGCAGTCATGGCTGCATTCCAGATGATCAAACAAACATTTGGAGACATGCTGTATTCTCCTGGCACAGAATGCTTGAAGGAATTCCCTTCACCAGAGTCATTGAAAAAGCGGGTTATCATATCAACTAAACCACCAAAAGAGTACCAACAAACAAAGGAAGTTAAGGAGAAGACAACTAAAGAAAGCAGTTCTGCAGTGACAGAAGCTTGGGGGGAGTGAAGTATCAGATCTGACTCCGACATATAATAATGACAAGGTTCATAAAGTTTTCTTCATACTAGTTATTGCGCATGAGCGTGTTTTAAGCAGATATTGTCCTAGCCACTGTCATAGCTAGCATACCAAGAGCCCATTAGGTTAGACTTTAAATGGTTGAAGTGGCTAAGTGCGCTGACATTGTTGAAGTTATGACAAAAATGGCTGAATTTGTTGAATTATCAATAAAATATAAAATAAAATGAAAAAGTTAAAACCATCATCTTCATCAACTTCATCCAAAAAAAGTGTATGTACCTTATTTCTTTTCTTCATTAACATTTACAAAATGCAGCTTGCAAAGTGGCTTATAAGACTGATTAGCCAGAATAAGTGGCTACCATACAGACACTAACATCTTTCCACCAGGATGGTACAGACGATGTAGAAGATGACGATGAAGAAGATCCAAAATCAGAACAGAGTGAGGCACCACAATTCAGGAATTTGATTGCCATTCATGCTGGAAAGGGGAAGGGTGGACTGTCTGAGTGGCTTAGAATTGATACTGATAAAGTGAGACGGCTTAGCTTGAGTGAGCCACAGCTTGAAAATGCAGTCAAAACACATGGAAAAGAAATCATTCGGTATGTGTTTGGTTCTCCCTCAATTCGTAGATTGAATTCGAAAAGTTCAAACAATAAACTCTCATTATGTAGTCATGTCAGATGTATATATCATGTTCTTTAATTATAGAACGATATACATTTAATTGAATTGAAGAAACTTTACTGATGCCAACTGACATTTAAAAGGATGTTTGCGGAAGTATACAAGAAAAGGCAAATTTATTATGAATATATGATAAAGACATTGGTGTAACTGAGCTATCTGTTAAGCAATCATCCCCCCCCACTGTTCAAACATGGAAGAATGATATACTCCGTATTAGTTACTCAGTTCTGTGTTTTTTCTTTCCATATTTCTTTGTTGCAGATTCACTCAACAAAATTTATTGAGAATTTACCCAAAGGGCATACGCATCAACTCATCTAATTATAATCCCTTAATTGGCTGGACCCATGGAGCTCAAATGGTGGCATTTAATATGCAGGTTAGGTTTGTCCTTTATTACAAATAGAGGGATATATGCCGTTGAATACTGCTAGTATGTGCCTTTGGCATTTGACAAAATAACTTACTGTAATTTATTTCTGATCCACTATTGACTGTAATTTTGTTGAAGTGAAATTTGAAAAACACTCAGTTAACATTTCTTCCCTCAGGGTCATGGTAGATCACTTTGGTTGATGCAAGGCATGTTCAGAGCCAATGGTGGTTGTGGATATGTTAAGAAACCAGCCATATTATTGGAATCTGATCATTCTTATAATTCATTAGTTAATAAAAATGCTTCGTCGCGTGTAAAAACAACGTTGAAGGTAACTAGAGAGACTCAGGGTTCCCACTTGTATATTCAATATATTATCATGAAGATATTTCTACTTTGCCTGTGTAAATGATTCGATTATTATGAACCAGGTGACTGTGTATATGGGTGAAGGATGGCATCATGACTTCCGGCATACACACTTTGAGTCTTTGATGCATATTCACCTCCAGATTTCTATGCAAAGGTACTCTCTTTCTCTTCCTTTCTATTTCAAGTGGCCATCTGCTAGCTACTTTTCTTGACTTAGCTGTCATATTTGTTACTCCATACCTAATACGGAGTACAATACTAGTAATACTGAGTAGTTAACTTGAGAAGTTCTTTTTCAAATTTTTATTGTTACCTTTCACACCTTTGAGCCTTTCCAAAACTGCCATGTTGGCGATGATTATAAGACATTCTCCATGCAGGTGGGAATTGCAGGAGTTCCAGCTGATTGTGTAATGCAGAAAACAAAGGTAGTAGAGAACAACTGGATACCTATATGGAATGAGATTTTTGAGTTCCCACTAACAGTCCCTGAATTGGCTCTCCTGCGTTTAGAAGTTCATGAGTACGACTCGTCCGGGAAAGATGACTTTGCAGGGCAAACGTGCATCCCAATCTCCGAATTGAGACAGGGAATCCGAGCAGCCCCTCTCCATGATCGTAAGGGTGATAAGCTTAAATCTGTAAAGCTGCTTCTGAAACTTGACTTTCTTTGATTACTCTGATACATATCGAGTGGCGGAGGTAGGGGGAAGGTAGTGCATGTTCCCGCCAAAGGGATTCCGGCAACGGTATCCCAGACCCATTCCAGCAAAGGTGTTTTCCGTAATTTCAATGCTTTCAGTAGGATTATGCTATGTGTACTCCAAGATTTGTACCCCAATTTGTACCCTGCAGTTTGACGCCAACATTTTTTGTGTTGGTGTAAAGAGCAATGCTAGGGGTACACCAAAAGGTGTACCCCAATTACTTACTCCCTCCGTCCATAAAAGAACTTCCCACTTTCCATATTTGGTTGTCCACAAAAAAACTTCCCATTTCCTTTAATGGCAAAATTTTTATCTTAAAAAGACACTACTACCCTTATCACCCTAAACTATTAACCCACTCTATCCACATTTCTGGTGCAAGTTTCTCTCTCATCCTCCCCACCACCCTTTCTTACGGAGTAATTTATTCAACATCTTCTCTCATTAGCCTCTCAATCTTCAAATTCTTCTCTATTTCTCTCCTTTGTCTCGATCTTCTCCCTTTCTCTAATTTTTTTTGGTTAATTTCATCATATCCGATCCAAATGGTAAATTCCTTAGATCGGAATAGATCTCCGTCGGCAGCTTCTCCATTATTTCTAATTTGTATTTACAATTTTCAGATCTATTCTTTTAATATGCCAGATGAAGGGGAAGATCTAGATGGAGGTTCGTCGGCGGGCGTTCAACCCACACAGGAAGGAGAGAGGTTGTAGTTATTGGGTAGTGTGTAGGGAGGAGTCGGTGAAGACCGAAGGGGGTTGGGATGGAGGGGATTGCAGGTCTATGACGGCAGCGGGTGGGGGACAGTGGTGTCGAAGAGTGGTCGGCGGTGAACCTCCGCCGGCATTAGCAACAGCTGTAGATGGCTTATGGCGGGTGGAGAGGACAAATATGTTGAGGGGTATAATGGGAAAGTCAATACAATTTTCATTACACATAAATTTGCGTGCCCGGTCAAACTGGGAAGTTTTTTTATGGACGGAGGGAGTATTTTTTTAAAATTTTTTTGTCTTTTTGAGTGGATAAGGAGGGGGTGGGGGACATATGGGGTACACCTTTGGTGTACCACTAGCATTCTTCTGGTGTAAAACTAATTTTTGTTGAACGCACCAATATTTGTGTCCGTGTGAATTTTTATTAACGCACCAACACTTGTGTCGGTGTAAACCATCGAAATGTTTGTGCAAACTAGGGGTGGACACGGTACCGGTACGGTACCGTGACTGGCGACGGTACCGCCGGTACCCGCCACCGCCACCGCCACCGCCGGCCGGGACGTCCCACCGGTTCCGGGAACCGGTACCGGTACCGCCCCCCACGGTACCGGTTCCGGTATCCATTTTTTGGTACCGGCACCGGCGGTACCGGTACCGGTTCCGGTACCTTTTTTTTTTGTCCAAATTTGCTCCCCCACAACGCTCGATTGAAGGAAGAAGAAGAAATTGGCGAGGCTCTCTGATTTGCAGATTGCTTCAGGCTCTCTGATTTGCATATTGCTTCAGGCTCTCTGATTTGCAGACCAAATTCAAATTCATCGCGACTAGATTGCAGACCAAATGCATCGAGTCAGAGAAGAAATCAGCGAGTCGCGACCTTTGGGTGGCCGGTACCGGCGAGTCGGAGAAGAAATCGGATTGCAGACCAAATTCATCGCTTGGGTGGCCGGTCCGGTACCAGAACCGCCGGTCCGGGAACCGGAACTGGTACCGGCAATTACGGTCACGGTACCGGTACCAAGGAGTGGCGGTACCGGAACCGGCGGTTCCGGAACCGGAACCGTCCCGGAACCGTACCGTATCCACCTCTAGTGCAAACCTATGATGTACAAATGGGGTATATTTATTGATGTAAAGTGTAATTGTAGGCGTGTAGCATGGTCCCAGTCAGTATGATGGTGCCCCCTTAGAATGGAGTAATTCCGTTTCTGTCACTGTACATAATCCAGGCAATTAAGTCGTCATAACTCATAACTCATAACACATCAGTCAAATACAAAAATAGACACCCACTTGTCAAGTACTAAACTTGTACATATGCGTTGCATGACCTAATTAAAAACTATTCTTCTCGTCCCTAAATAGATTACAAATTTTTTCTTCTCTCTTCTCGATAACTTTTATTTGTTTACGCAATTTCATTAATTATGTGATAAAATAAAATATTTTTGTCACCTCTTGTTTTGTAGAACTTTTGACGTAGTTTTTTAATACTCCGTATGTAATTTTTATATCTTATTAATATACCAATTTATAAATGAAATTATTTTAAAAAGTAGAAAATTTTTCTTAGTAATCCGCAATATGTAATCTATTTAGGAACGTAGAGAATATATAACACCATAGATATCTTACGTTTTTGGATCGATTATATCCCATTCTTAAAAAATATTCTCTCCCTCCCAAAAACATTCTTGGCCCACAAATTTATTTTCTTTTTTATTAAAAAATTGTTACATATATGATCTCATTACACACTGCTAAAAAATATGACAGTTTTAGACAGTGTGGTTATTCACTTAGCTTGTAACTGTATAGTGAGCAGTGTGGTTTTTATATGTGAGTATTTAATGTGACAATGTACAATGGATATATGTTGTTATATCAGTGTATTTTTGTAATCCTTAATTTTATGTTAGCGTTTAATGTCCATTGATTTATGTGACAATGTTTTCATGAATAAATTCAATACTGGCAAAAGTGATTGATAGTTTTAATGTATGAATTCCAACACTCTCCAAAAAGTATATAGCTCTTTGTATGTATGAATTTCACTTTTTTTATGTATGAATTTCACATTGCAAAAATGTGTGTGATTGTTTTCATTATGAATCCCACACTGCCCGAAAATGTATGTCATGTTTCATGAATAATCTATTAAACCAAAACACTAGCCAAACATGAGTGTTAAATATGGAACTTAATTTAATACGTACAAAATTGTTAAAGCATTATACATTGGTAAACTGCGTAGGAGGAGAATCTCGCGGAGCTATACTAAACGATGAAAGATGGTGTTCTCGCACGTATGACACTCACGAATGAGGAGGAGTCGCACGTATGAGGAGGAGTGGATACATGATCAAATAACCTAAGTTTAATCAAATAATTAAAAGTAATTAAGAGTAGTAGAATATGATAAGAGGTAGAGGGGGTATGCATGGAAGATATTGACACCATAAATAGCTAAATTTGTATAAAAGATTAAAGTGTGCTATATGCGTAATATTGAGTGACTTAGAGTGATACGTATGGTGATTTCTTAAAATTTAATTATGAACAAAACTCAACTCCATTTATATGCATTTTTTACTAGTAAATTTATAGTGAATAAGATTAAAACATAAGTCATTTTTCAATGTAGGATTTAAACTTTTTTATTTTCTAAATAGGACTTAATAATGTCTAGTAAGAAGAATAATGTCAAAGTGATGCAGAACATTTAGTTGAATAATGACTAATAGATACTACGTAATAACCAATGGTCCTATATTGGTAAATAAAAACATATGATCCTATAGTAAAAAAGTCATTATGTTTTAATTCAATTTTGATAAATTACTCTTTCTAATGATTAATTAGTATATATGGAGTGGCACTTGATTATTCAAAATACTCTATGCTTGATGCTCTGTAATACGCCAAATAAGGTTATATTCTCCTTAACTTATTTTTTACCAATTATTTATTCTAATCAAAATCAGATCGATCAGATAAAAATAGCTTTAAATATAACTGCAATCACATTGGATCAGATCAAAACCAAACAGATCAGGTGAAGGGAACATGGCTTAAGTCGTTTTGACTTTTGAGTACAGTTATCTTTCATTATGCTGTGTGAAATAGAGATTAACCCCCTTTGGATAATCATGAATAATAAAATCCATTTAATCCTCCCTTCCTCTCATGTCTCTTCCTCTCTCTTTTGGCCTAACGCACGACTCTGCGTTTGCTGCTGTTTCTCTTCTCTTTCTCCTTCTCACGAGTTTGGGGGAGCACTCTGAGCCTCCTTCAAGGATACGTATTGTATCACAACACCGGCGGGATGACATAATCAAAGTTCTTAGTGGCCGGTAAGTTTAAAGAAGAGCCGGTAAAGGTTTGACACAATCACCCCAATTGGTATCTTTCCACAAATAGTCCTTTTTTGATCTTCTATCATGTTGGTGTTAATTTGAAGGCTAAAAGTGTAATTTCACAATGATAATATATCTTTTTTGTCATACACAATTCCAAAGGTTGTCATACTCAAACAGAGCGCACGTCCCCGTCAGGTGTGACCTGAGTGGAGAGTTTGTGGGATCTGCTCCTCTTGGACCAAAAAGGACCTGCCCTCTCCAGCTCCTCGGGCAGATATGTTGAGATGACCGACCGAGTGGTACTAGCCGGTTGAAATGGCGGGGGATGCCCCAGCGTGTTGGGAAGAGATTTATTTTGAGCCACATACAGCATGGGGATACAACACAGGGATGAAAAGAGTAAATCTCCAGGGTTGTTGGAACATGGGAAGAAATTATCGAAAGTTTTGGAGGGCCTAACTAGGCGTTGTTTGAGTAGTGAAGGATGTGATCATGGGGGAGAAAAGAGAAGGTAATGATGTGATTCCTCCCGGGATCAGGGTAACACCAAGTTTTGGAGGGCCTGACTAGCGTTGTTTGAGTAGTGAAGGCTGTGATCATGGGGGAGAAAAGAGAAGGTAATGATATGATTCCTCCCGGGATCAGGGTAACGCCCTCCACCGGGGTGGAAATTTGGGAAATGATGGATTCCATATTGTTGTTTGTCATGGCTTTTTTTGTAAAGAGATCCCGCGGGTGGCGCCAATTTGATGGTGTAAAACCAACGTGAGTACTAAGTCCGATTAAACGAAAGGGTTGTATGTGGGAACACCTGTAACCCGAGTACTTATTAATAATGTAGGGACCGATTACAAGTTTACAAGCCGTGTGGATTCTTAATTGCCTCCTCTCTTTATGAGACTTTCACTCATATTTATAATAATAGAAAATACATTGTTCAACATTAGTGTTCATCTCAAGTCATCCACCTAGGCAGTCTTCAAGCCGACCAGTCTTCAAGCCGACAAGTCTTCAAGTCACTTCAAGTCATCCACCTGGGCAGTTTTCAAGTCATGATCTTACCGTTCTGACCCCCAACATTCACCCGATCAGATTAACGGGGACGGTGAGGCCAAGCCTTGTCAGACTTTAAGCATTCTGCGAATGAAGTCACGATCCCATAGGTCTGACCCCTGACATGCACCCGGTCAGATTACCGGGGTCGGTGAGGTCAGGTGGGATTATACTTTGGTAGCTCCTGGGGCCTGTGAACTTATTGGGTGGAACCAATGGGTTTTACCCATTAATAATAATAATAATAATAATAATAATAATAACAACAACAACAACAACAACAACAACAACAATAATAATAATGATGATAATAATTTTTGATTGAATCTGATTTGATCTAGTTTGATCTTATCTGAATTAATCTGATTGGATCTGATTTTATCTACCTGATCTGATCTGATTTTAATAAAATAAGAAAAAAGCGGAAAAAATAAATTGAACGGAACAAGTCATAAGTCTAGATTTTTGAATTTGAAATTCAAAAGGGTCCTAAATCATAATCCAATTTTTCAAACATAACATTAGATTT